TATTTCGAGAAAACGTGGGCTGGTGGTCGCTAACTGCGTTTTAAAGCTGAAATCAACCAGGCGTTTCAAGCGTTAGAGACCAGGCTCCCACTATCTGATTATATTTTGGCCCACAATACATTTCGATCTCGATATTCTTTCGTTCCCGATGCATTTTGGGGTTGGGAGACGCGCTGTCCCTAATGGCATGTGTCGGTGAATGGAGACGGGTGAGTGTTACAAAAAATATTGATAACTTAAAGAACACTAAAATTAGTAAATACTCGAAAATACTCATCTAAAATGTAGACACCTGAATTCACACATTCCACTGTTGAGAAGTGAAGGTCCTTTTTCATTCCTACTTTTCTTTTACATGTACACCTTCCAGTTTCGGTTTCATCTCGCTGTCACACAAGCTTAGTTTACACTAGATTTGTGATTCAAAGTTCCTTATTGAGAACGGTTCCCGTAGCTCCTTGAATAAAACAACCAGAACAACAACTGCAACAAAACAATGACCCGTGGTACAAAAAAAACTCAAAGTTCCTTAAGTAATTTATAATCAAGAACTTGAGGAACAAGACAACCTGAGGTTATATTTCAAGGGAGCAAGGGATATTTTTGGGATTAATTCGAGGGAACAAGGGGTATCTATACTCTTAAAGGAAACTTTGACAAAAACATTAGGGGACAAAGGAATTTATTAATAAGGAAGCAGGGAAAAGTGGAATTTTAAGGGATCGAGGGGCACAGGCTTCCCTCTTCCCTGGGAGACCCGGGAGGACCTCTATAATGTCCCGAGCAGTTGTCAAAGATATCTGTGAAGCCCGGCCAAACGATTGCAACAGTTCAACGCAACATATGACCGTTTAGGCGTCACTGAGTGTTTAATAATAATAATATTAATAATAATAATAATAATAATAATAACAACAACAACAACAACAACAATGACATTTATAATGCGCAAATTTCATAAAATGTTCAAATGCACATGACAAGATTAAAACCGAAATAAAAAGGCTAAAAACCTAAAATT